TATATTATCAAAAAAGTTCTTCTCAATATGCATAACATCAAGATTATGCGCAACTAATTATCTTTCCAATATGGGAGGTCCCAAAATATACATTTTTTTGTCCAATTGTGTGTGACCCCATATCCTTGAATTCTACATGCTATACCAGTATCTGTGAATTTTGGTAGTTCACAAACTTGGTCCATACTTCACCTAGTGGCAATCGAGGCAGAGACAAATCTGTTACTCATTCGTCTTTTTTGAAATCAGTCTTATTTCTTCTATAGGGATGATTTGTTAGTATAAATCTACGTTGAAAGTCAAACCACGAAATTTCCCCCCTTTTTTCCAACGTAAACGCCTTGGTGTTCCCCATGCAATGCGAAAACCCCATTTTGCCATGCGTACCCCATCCAGACAACATGCCATATAATGGAAAGTTGTTAATAGTTCAAATCATCAATTAAAGGTTATAAATACACATTGATTCTTGTTTTTGGACTTGACGGTCTTGGAATGAGGTAGGTTAAAACATGTATGGTTTTTTCATGAACATCTCAGGAGGGAGGTTGTAATGGGTTACAATAACTGGCCAACAAGAATATCCGCTTCTCGATGCTTGGACATATGAAGTAAAACCATCAGAGCATAATCCAAGCCTCACATTTCAAGGTTCTGCAGAAAAATCAGTATGTATGCAATCAAAGTGCTTCCATGCCTCGCCATCAGATGGATGTCGCATAGTGCTCGAACTTGTTTTGTTTATATGATGCCATATCAATTGACTTTCATTGTTCATTGAAGCGAACATTCTTTTTAACCTTGGTATTATCTAAAGATAAAACATGGACTTCACTGCTACACGTTACTTATGGTCAATGCCTTCACTACAAACTTTATATCTTGAACTCTTACAGAACTTACATTCCTACAATTCTCCATCATTAGTACCAAACTCATTTTCATAAAACAACATGCAACCATTAATGCAACAGTCAATCTTTCTTACTTCTAAACCCAACTTCGACACTAACCTCTTTGCATCATAAAAACTTGTAGGCAAGTTGTCTTTCGTAAGAGCCGCACCGAGCATCAGTTTTGCGAAGAAATTCAAACACTGATCAGGAACATTCCAATTTGACTTGGTGCCCAATAATCTCACACACGTTGATAACTTTGAGTCTGAAAACCCCTCAAACAAAAGTGTATTCATCACATTCAACAACTGATAAAATCTTTGCGCTTTCACATTCGGCAACTCTTCCCCATCAAAATCTTCAGGTTCGTCATAGGTCACATTCACACTAAAAGTATTGCCCACCATCTCAGCGATCAGATTAAAGTTTTCCCCATGTTCTATCGATGATCGACTACTTGAAGCATGCGTATTATTGGTCTCTGGTACGTTACTCAGCAGTTCTTCTCCATTATATGTCCAAACTCAATAATTTTCAATGAAATCCCTTCTCTTCAAATGACGTTCTACTTCCTCTTAGTCACTAATTATAGATCTGCATTCACATTTAAGACAAAGACATCTAACTCCTCCTTTGCTTTGACAACATTCTTGAGAAAATGCCCACGTGATAAACCCTTTAACTCCTTCCTCAAAATTTGGCGTGTGTGTGTATATTTATATATATATATATATATATATATATATATATATATATATATATATATATATATATATATATATATATATATATATATATATATATATATATATATATATATATATATATATATAATATATATATATATATATATATATATATATATATATATATATATATATATATATATATATATATATATATATATATATATATATATATATATATATATATATATATATATATATACATATATACATATAGTAGCGAAATACACAGATTACCTGCGGATTTTCCTGCAGAAAGAGTTCCGCAGCAATACCTGCAACTTCACATGCGCCTTTATATTGGGAAACATTATTTCCTACGAAAACTAAAGTAGCAGCAAATTTCGCAGAAATTCCTGAGACTTTAGCTGCGAGTAAAATATAAATTTTCTGCGGATTTAACTGCAATACCTTTCACAGGAATTAGTTATCCAGTGAAACCACAAAATTCTCTGGAAATGTCGCAAGAATTGCTGCGAAATTTGCTGCGGAGTTTGCTGTAAATGTTTCTACGACTTTTGTGGCGAATTGTTTAGTTTATTTTTAATTTTTACTATTAATAAATAAAATTATAAAACAAGAATATATTGTTGAGACATTTTTTAATTTTATATTAAATCTTAGTTTTTCTTAAGAAAGTTTTATAATATTAATTGAGTTTTTTTAGTGATTTTTTAAAGAAAATTTATTTATTTAATACTTTTCTATTGTTGTAAAAATTAGAAAAATCAAAGATATAAGTTTATGATATAATTGTAAAATATAAGTTTATTTATTTAATAATTTTTTATTGTTGTAAAAATTTAAAAAATCAAAATTATAAATTTATGATATAATTGTAAAAATATAAGTTTATGATATAATTGTAAAAATATAAATTTATTTATTTATTTATATCTTTACTATTATTAAATAAAATTGTAAAATATAATTGACATATTAATTTTTTAGATTTATATATCTATAATAATATATAAAGGCAATAGATTGTTTTAGTGTAGCTTTTTTTTTTCAAATTTACCCTTTTCAATTTTTATTTTAAATTTTTATTTTTTTCTCACAATGGCGGTTACACAAAGGTTTATTAACCGCCAACAGTTTATTATTTTTCATATCATTATCTTTAATTATTTTATAAATAGTTTATAATTAAATTAAAATTAAATAATTTATCTAGGGAACATGGAATTTTAGACTGACTTATTTTTATTTCTATTTTATCCTTTAAAATTTAATTTTAGTTAATCTTAAAAACAAAAATACAAATAAAAAAATAAAGTTTTTATTAAATGATGGTAGTTATTTTGAATTGTGGTAACTCCATAACTCCTAGAGTTGGTTTTTTATTTTTATTTTTGTATATAAACCTCTCAAGATGTGATGCATAACATAAATACAAATTTATAGAGTAAAAAAAAAATATTTGTTTAATGTTTCATCCAATGATTCTTCATAATTTATGGTTTGTGGGTGGTTAATAATTTGCTTCTTTCTCATTGTTTGTATTAGAAGTCCTATGGAAGTTCCAATGTTTGCTTCTGTGTTGTTTTTGTATTCGAGAGCAACATTAAAATTGAAACTAATTCATGCTTATATTTCGGGACTTATTACACTAGTATTTCATCATCAAAAGAGGTAATTTTGAATTTCAAAGATAACTATTTCAAATAGCATGGTTTTTTTTGCCTATTATATGTTTTAGGAACAATAAAGAGAAAGAAATAAATTTTCTTATTAATTATTTATTAGGAGAGATTTTCATTAAAATTCAAAGGAATCTAAATTTAAATTTGCCTATTAATTTAAATGAATGGAATATTAATGTCATTAGATCATCCATGTAGGCTGCTTAGTTCATTAATCATCATTAATTTTTCTAAATATCATTAATTTTTTACCGTTGCTATTTCAATTTACAATTCCAGCCCAAATTGAAATGGATAGTTCTCTTGCTTTTCTATTTAATTTTTAATAGGTGAAGAAAGTGTAGCATAGTGAATTGATTAGTGGTTATATAAAAGATTTTTTTTAAGTGGAAATGAATCTCTATGAATGTAGAAAATCATATTTTTGAAAAATAAATACAAAACGAAAAAAAAGGTATGTGTGATGAATGAGAGAAGTTATTAGTGTAAGAGAAAGAAAATGGAAAAAAAAAACTAAGAGGGTGCGTGACTTTAAATTTGACTATAGATATTTTGATTGGTTGTATGCGTAAAATTGTCTCACACTGACAGTGTAATACCTTTAAACTTTAAAATACTGTGTGATTAGTAACTTCAGTAGGATTTGAAAGATAACTTCCATATCTTTTATTGTCGTGAAAGAGAAGAAGAAAATTATAGAATGAATATTTTGATGATGGAGACATTCTTTAAGACCGCCACACAAATGAGAACTCTCATGAATTATACAATTTATTTGTAAGAGTTATACAAATTGTTACGTTGTTTGCCTCGAAAAAAGAATTGGTATTATAGAAATTTGTTAACATTTTTTAGATAAGTTGCAAGATGTTGTGTTTAAGCGTACAAACGGGTATACCCGTTTAAATGCTATGTAAATAATTTAATTTAAGATCAAAATTAAATTAAAAAATATGTTTATATTTTAACACGTGTGTATACTAAAAAGGTGAACAAACGAATTTCTTTGTTTTAAATATAAATTGTATTTAATATTTGTAGGTAATTGATAAATATATATATATATATCTATGTTTACGTATTAGTGTAATAATAGTTAATATTAAACTGATAATTTTCACATGCACATACTGTAACAACAAATGTCAAAATAAGTATTTATTATATCAATATATATTATTTCAAAAATAATATGAAACTGGGTTTAAAAAAAGTTTCATATAAATAATTTATACTAAAATCAATATAAATAGTTAATATTAAAATCAAACTTATAAAAAAATATGTTAGTCAATATTTTTACGCATTAGCGCAATAAAAAGAGCGAACAAACTGGCACGGATGTGCCCGTTTGGACGCTAGTATTATATAAAAACAAAACTATTTTAAAATAATTAAAATATCGAGTGACAAAAAGCTAGTGACAATAATTAAAATATCTTAAAGAACATATAATAGTAGAAATTTGTTTTCATCAATGTGGCTGTAGTTTAGTGGTAAGAATTCCACGTTGTGGCCGTGGAGACCTGGGCTCGAATCCCAGCAGCCACACATTACTTTTTATCCACTTTATTTCTTTTTTATTCGTCTCTCACTTCATCGTCTTTCATTACAACGTGATAATAATGACTTACGCTTATTCCCCGTTTTGTCTGTTGTGGTGGGAAAACGGGGGCTGAAGCTGAAATTGAAGACAAAAAGTGGCGTTACACATGGGAATCACAATCTCACACACCAATCCTCCGCTTATTCCTTTTCCCATTCTCCAAACCATAAACCTCTCTCTTCAACACCACAATCTCACTCTTCACCTTCATTCTCCACCCACTTTCCTCACTCTCACTTCCTCCTCCTCCCTCTCCCTTAGGGTTCCGATTCCCAATGTCTTACTCGACGCCGAGCTTCCTCCCACCGTTCGTTCATTCACCGACCATATCGAAGTCAAACTCCTCCTCTTACTCCCCATCGATCACCCTGCCCTCTCCGCACTTCATCAAACCTCTTCGTTACCTCAACCTCTCCTAATCGAATACGGTAATAACCTCAATATTCCGCTTTTGATTCTCGTTGCTTGCTTTTGCTTATTATTATTATCATTTTTTAGTTCAGATGTAGACAAACTATCTTTAGCTAGAGAAGTCGAATTTGTTTGTAGAAGTTGCAGATACCATTTGACCAATAAACCTATCAGATATTTTGTTTATTCTTTGTTTACCTCTATTGTTATAGATTAGTGAATTCCTTTGGATATGTTATCATTGTATAAAGTTGAGCTTTAAAAAAGTAGATTGAAGTTCTTATTATTGTTATGTGGTTTACAATGATTATTTAGGAATTTTGTTGAAATGTCGTCAGCAAATTGGAGGGAGGTGGCTGACAATTGGTTTAGTGCTTGTTGTTATTCGTTTGGAGGTATAAGTGAGAAGTTGGTGATGAGGTATGTGAATTCTCACACGTGTGCACAAGGGATGTGCCTGTTGAGCTCTACATCTGTCACTTTTAGCAAGGATGATCTTGTAGAAAATGACTTTCCTGAGCGGTGTGGACAGCTACACGGGTGTGGTTATGTAGCCGATGATTTTGGAATTGATGTTGTTAGTGAAGGCATTGGGAATTTTGGGCTGAATGAGGAAAGAACTTCAACCTGTAGGATGCTTGTGAAGTGAACTGTGCTTTTGATGAGAATGCAAAGGTTACCCATCCTGGGAATGGAAAGCTTTCTTTGAATTTTAATGAAGTTGCCAAGAATGAACCTGATTGCAGTGATTTTACTCGTATTTGTCTAGATTTGAATGACATTGAACACACGACCAGTATTTCTAGTTTTTGTACTCATAAAATGAGCATTCTAGGAAATGAAGGCGGTGAACATCATTTATCTTCAAATGCTAGGAAGATTAAAACTGTGGAAATTGTGGGAAATCAGAAGTCTTTCGTTAATGGTTTTCTTGAAGATGTTTTCATGGCTAGATCATCAAATCTTTCAAAGAATATTGATTGGCATGAATTTACATGCCCGTAATGTGCAACTCTCCTTGGAGCCTACCCGTGTTGTGAGGGATGTGCGACGGTAGATGGAGGAGTACGGTTGTTCAAATGTTATATTTCAACCTGTCTGCCAGTGTTAGGATCAGGGGACATTTTCAAGTTTGCATAGAATGACTAAATTCACTTTTATTCCTGTTGTAATTCTTTATCAAAGAAGAGAAATGGCGACTTAGTAAGTTTTATGCCTTTATGACTCTATTGTAGCTGACCGTGAAAAAGTAGATGTAGTAACAAGAAATATTGCTAAATAAGTAAAACTAATGTCTCAGTGGATAGCTTGGTTCAACTTATTGCAAAAGTTATTATTGGAAGTGAGTTAGTGCCTTCCATCAGTGACGGCTTAGGGACTAGACCGGCATCACCATCAACTGTCTGTTTCTCTTCTTCAAACCCAGTACTGGTTCCATCAAATGATTCACGTTTTCCTGGTGCTATTGGTGCAATTAAGCAGGAAGTGGGAGGTCAATGTCCTCTTGCGGAATTAAATGTGGCCAACACTTCTGAGAACAAATCTTCTGGTTATGACATTTATGATCATGAGTTGGTTTCCATCTTAATTTATAATGTTTTTCTTTACCACAGCTGGTTCTATTAAGGAGTGGAAACCAAAGCCAACACATGCAATTAACTAGGCTTCCGGACCAGCTAACGTATCTGAGTCTTCCGTTATTTCAGCTAAAGCTACCATACAGTTGCCGCCCGCGTCTAAGGTCATTGATTATGAGGAAGCTGCTTCTGAACTGCAGAAGAAGCTTGAGAATTTACACGTTCCACCGCGTCAACATGTCATTCTTCCAAACCATATGTCAGTTATTTGTGCAGAGGAAGCGAAGCAAAGACAGGCGTAAGATTTCTCACATACCCACCACACTTTTCAATTGATCATGTTCACATAAGTAGTGTCCCGGTGAGTCACTAAAATATTTATTTTTGAAAATGTTGTATATGTACATAGCCTTTATGTCTTGCCACTTTGTTTGTTCTTCAGTGTTTTATTGAATGATTGTGTTTTTTTGTTGTTGTGTAAAATGATTAATTAGTTAGTTAGTGGCAGTATGTTCTACCCAACTTTCAAAAAATCTTGACAGTCCTGTAATTTTCCTTAGAAGTCATCGTGTATGCAGCATTAAGTTCATTCAGCTTGATGTACTTTTGAAGTTTTATTATACATTCTAAATCTAAAACAGTTAGACCAATAGAAAATAGTAAATGATTGATATAGCTCATGGAGTAATCTAAAGGAATCGCAAAATTATTGATGAATCAACCGGAGAAATCTAGAGTACATGTATATTTACCATCGTGTTTTTGGTCTTCAAAGTAGAAGAATTTGATCCGATTCTTTAGAAATTTGGGTCTTGAAAGTTAAATTGTCGCACCTTAGCCAGCAACTAGTCCAGTCCAATCCCAATTTATTTTTTAATAGCTTCGTTTATACATTGCAATATCGGCTTCTGCGTGGTTTATCAAGATATACTTCCCCTGCACTCTGCGTTTACTCTCACTCTAAGTTGTATTGTACATCTTGATCTGATATTTAGGTAATGTTAATAACACTGAAGGAATAAAAGATAGTCCATTCCAAGCCGAGTCAAAAGATGATCAACTCAACACTGAGTTGAGGGACAACCGGTTGTTGATCGATAATAAAATAATAAAAACAATGAGAAGGTGAGGGCTTCTTATTTTGTTTGTATTTTCAACATTATTGTTGTATCCTCACCTCAGACTTGATGAAAAAGAATGATAAAGTTTCTTGCATTTTTTGTGTACTTCGGTTCTATGCTTGGGATTCAGCAGTGAGAAATTATGTTATTCTTTTTATGCAGACAGGGTGCTAAGGGTAATGAAATATTTGAAGCTCTCATTGCCAGTAGCGCAACATTTGATAAGAAAACATCACTTCAACAAAACTCGAAACAAGATGTCGGTAGCATGGAAAGCCAGTCAATTGTAAGATGCACTTCCTTGATATTCTAATCAGTTCTATCTTACTCTTTGAACAATTTATCATATATTTCAATGTTGCGGGATCCAGTGAGTACATTAGTCTGCATGGAGGAAATCTCTCCATTAGAAAATGGAGTTTCGGATCTTGGTACTGAGAATATCATATTTCCTATTCTAAAAGCTTACAAAGCTAAAAAAGGCTGGAGAAAATGCGTCTCAAGAAATCCTGGACTCGTGGAAGGAAAATGGGTTTTCTAGATATTTCAACTTAAAAGCCAAGTGTTTGACACACAATTCAAAGATCATAAAGTTGATGTAGCTTTAGATTCATAAGCTAGTACTAGATCGAACTTAAAACTCGTATAGCTTCAGAATTCGACAGAGTCGAATTAACATGATGTAATCGAAGTCCATTAATGTTTAATTCAACATGCAGTTTGATGATGGAGTAGATATGTATGTCATGTAGTTATCGTCATACATATGACACAGTATTCTATAAATAGGTTGTTCAGAGAGTGATTGATTGTTATTTTTATTGTAAATTTTGATTATATTTCAAAAAATTTAAGTAAATTTAATTTTAATTTTTAAGTAACAAATATGAGAAAATACTTTTAAAGAAAATTATTATTATTGTTACTTTGATATTTAACAATAACTATAATATTTTAAATATGAATTAAACACAATTAATAATAAAAACTAAAAACCTGAGAGAGAAATTATTTGCGAATTTACCTGCGAATTTAAAATTTGCTGCGAAGTTTTCTGCCAAAGTTACAATTACCTGCGGCTTTTCCTGCGAGTTTATCTATTTTATCTGCGACATTTTCCTACGATTATTTCCTGCGACTTTACCTGCTAAATTAATTACCCAAGAAGGTTTTAGCTGGGAGCAGAAAATAGCAGGAAGAATCGCAGGTAATACATTTTCTACGAAAATTTTGTCAAAAAGAGTTCTTCTAGTATATATATATATATATATATATATATATATATATATATATATATATATATATATATATATATATATATATATATATATATATATATATATATATATATATATATATATATATATATATATATATATATATATATATATATATATATATATATATATATATATATATTCTAAAAATGATTAATTTATTTATATAAAAATATAATTAATAAATTAAAATAATATTTTTTATTTATAACTTAATATATTCTGTTGAATATATTTATATTTTTTTAAATATTAAACAAGACTAAAAATATAATTAATACTACTTTAAATTCAAAAAAATAATTTAATATTTTTTTAAATATTAAAAAAAATTAATGTAATATCGTATAATTTAATATATTCGGTTTTAATTTAATACATCATTAAATTTGAAAAAATAGTATATACTATTAATATATTCTATTTATTTTCTAAAACTATTCAATACATATTATGTTTATTATTTTTAAAATAATATATTAATTTTTTCTAAAAAATATTAATAACCTAAATATATTTATTTATTTTGTTTAGAAAAAATAAAAAAAAAATACATTAAATATTCTATTTATTAATTCTAAAAAATATGAATAATCTAAATCTAACTATCAAAACCTAAATAATAAAACAAATCTAACATATAACCTAAATCTAACCTATTATATTTATATATATATATATATATATATATATATATATATATATATATATATATATATATATATATATATATATATATATATATATATATATATATATATATATATATATATATATACGAATTTCAAAAGAAAAAAATATAATTACAAAAATACCTCAATGGAGCAACCAAATATATTTTGTGGAGTATCTTCTTTTAAATAACCTAAAATAAAAACAATATTAATAACAAAATAAAATTTAATTTATAAAAAATTAAATAAAGAATAAAATTTTATCTTATGTTAGATGTGTAGGATGAGGGATTTTAGTTGATGTTGAAATTGATTTGAAGTTGAAGAGGAAACAAGGATTTGGAATGACGAGGAAGAAGAAATTGCATATTGAAATCGGAAAGAAAAAGAAAAATTTTTGAGTGTGAGAGTGGTGATGTGTGAATGGAAAATTGATTTATATATTGACATTTGCGTCAGGAATCTCACGTCGCAACTTATGACGTGTTATTCACGTGGTAAATATTTATATCATTGTCTTGCGACGTGAGTCCCACATGACTATGTTTAACCAGATGCAACGATCACT